TTGGAGCACGCCCTTGCCCTGGTGGGTGGGGCTGCGGTGCCGCCTCTGTAGCTGTCCGGGAACCCCTCGGCCCTCTGTGCTCCCATGAGCAGAGCGGCACTCTAGTCCAAGGACTCGCCCTAGTTAAACTCCCAGCAGCCGGTCGCCGCGATGCGCTCCCTGGCCGAGTGGCGCAGAATGAGTCGGAGACCGTCCGGGCCTGTACTGGTTTACGCAAGAGAAATCCGGAACAGCAGAGAAAGGAAACAGACCACCTGTACAACGTCTTCCAACAAAATGGATACCCACGCAACTTTTATCAAAAAGTGCCTGGCCACTCAACCTACTGCAACACAACCAACATATTGTCAGGATTTTCTTTCTCATGGGAAAGGATTCATCCCGTTATCTGCACGACACATATGCTATGAAAAGGATAACACTGCTGTACATCCAAAACGTCTCAGAAACTATCAACAGACTTTACAATTATATGGCATCTCCGTAGCACATATAAAGCCCTCCAAAACATCTTAAGCAAACCAAAAGACTCAGTAGCCAAATCAATGTTCATAAAAGTAAAAATTATAAGATTTTTAATGCAAGAAGAAATCAGTGTTTGACAAGAAGAATCTGTCAGCTCATTCAGCGAAATATCTGGGTTTGCAGATATCAAGAAACAATCAAGAAATATATCAAAATAACTCTTAAATTATGACAAGAGATTAAAAGAGACCTTGAAAGGTGGAAGAATTTAAAGCTATCATGGTTAGGATCTATTGCAATTATCAGAACAGAATAGTGATATGCAGGTTTGTCCCCTGTAAAAAGTAAGACAATTTCTCCTGGGTACCCCAGTATTTTTTAGTTTTTAAGGTTTGTCCCCTGTAAAAAGTAAGACAATTTCTCCTGGGTACCCCAGTATTTTTTAGTTTTTAAGTAGGAATCTAAGTAAACAGACATTTCTGTTGAGTATAGTTTGCAATTGAAGAGGATATGTGCAATGTCTTCAACAGCTGGTGCACCACAGATACACAGGCTTTCTTCAAATGGAACCTCCCATATCTTACTGTAGAGTCTAGTTGTTCAAAACAAGCTCTTGAAAAAGCTCTTCTAAGATGTTGGGGCATATAAGCCGTTAAGTACTTTTCTAGTGGTGAGGCTGATTTGTGCTGAGCCAGCTACTTCAAGGATTTAACATGTTTAAGGGATGCAATATCCTCTTGGGCAGCCACATCCATGACCCTTTGTTTGAAACTTTTCTTGGCCTTCAGATTTGGACTGGGAATTGGATGGAGAATCCATATTGTGATATAGCATTTGAGAGCTGGACAACCCAAGTGCGAGAAGGCATATTATACAACTGCTCTTCAAAACAAAGCTTGGGTAGTCTATATGGGTCCATAGATAAGATCTTCAGTCAATAGTTGAATACTTTGATTACTAAATGGCTTTGTATAGGGGGCATACCCAGCTGTGCCCTTACTGCTGGAGTTGGAGTAGATTTGTCCACCCCCGCGATGCATTTCAAGAAAGTGGAATGTATCTGTTTCAATAAGGGGACTTTTATATATCCCCATAGTTCTGCACCATTGAGACTTTTTTGCTGTTATATACCTTTATGATTGGGATTAGAAAACCTGGGTAGCTGTGGTTGGTGAGCTGCCTTTTGGCATTGGCACAGGCTGTAGCCTTTAAAAAACTCCTCTTAAAACATGGGAGCCAGGAGCCTGTTTCTGTAAAAACAAGTCCTAGGTATAAATAGGACAACCACATCTATATGTTCTTTATCCAAGCTTCAGTTATACCTAGTCCACCTCTTCCCAAAAATGACTACCTTGGTCTTAGACTTATTGATGTTCAGGTGGTTGAGTGCACAGTACAAACTAAACCTATACAGCAGTCTTTTCATCCCTACCTGGGTGTATGACATAAATATCATGTCATCTGCGTAGAGCAGAATGTTTATTTTTAACTTTAGGCATATGGATATTGGTTGCATGAAGAGACTTTGGGATATCATTAATATACAGGTTAAATAAGATGGGAGCCAGTACACATCCTTGTCTGACCCCCTTGTTGGTACTAAACATCCCTGTTAGAGAATCATGAGCTCTTGTGCATACTCTTAGGCATGAGTTTGAATATAATGCCTTAATTAAAAGGAGGAGTCTCAGATCCATGCTCAGGTCCATAAGTTTCTTCCAAAGAAGGTCCCTATTTACTGAATCAAATGCTGAACTGAGATCTATAAGAGTTGTAAACAGTTGGCCCCCTTTGGCTGTATATTTTTCTGTTAGATGACATAAGATAAAACAGTTATCAATAGTGGAGCAACCAGACCTAAATCCAGTTTGTTCTTCAGGGAGCAAGTCCTTTTCAATTACCCAGTCCTCAATCTTGTATAAAAGATATTTGGCATACAATTTTGCTACAATGTCAATTAGACTAATTGGTCTATTATTTGAGGGATCACCCTTATCACCCTTTTTGTAAATTGGGACCATAACAGAGAGCTCCCAACCAGCTGGAATTTGGCAGGAATTGTTTATATGAGTAAGTTTGCAAGTAAGGGAGCCTACCAATTAATATGACACTTGAATAATTCAGGGGGTAGGAGATCTTCCCCAGGAGGCTTACTGTGCTGGCTTGGCCAGGGATCAGATTACAGCAGCTGCAAGGCCAGAAGCTGCTGAGATCCAGCATCCAAGGAGTGTAGTCCAAACACAAGCTGTGGGTTAGGAATGCAGAGGTCAGAAAGTCAGAGTCCAGTCTAAGAGTCAAGAAGCCAAGGAGTCAGATTCAAAGTGTCAGCAGTTCGGCTCAGGAATGCACAAGTTTGCATCCACAACCGGCTCTCTGTCTTCCTGAAGTTTATCTTCAGCTGGCAGACTGTCAGATGCATCCTGGAAAGACTCAGAGTCCTGTGTCAG